CTGCTGCAGCCATAAGGAGCCAGCGGGCCCCAGCCCAAACCCGCTCCCCTGGGGACGCAGCTGCCCCCCAGCCCTCGGCGCCGTGCCCGGAGGCGGCTCAGCCCATTTCACGCTCTGCCGACTTGCAAAGCGCCGCCCCAGCTGAGCCTCATGCCCACCAGGCGCCGCGTGCCCGCCGGGACGGGCGCTGAGCCCCTGCGGCCGCTCCGAGCAGCTGCGCCCAGGCAGTAAATGCTGCAGGACGGGAGCTGGGATATTCCCCCGGCAACCCAAAACCCCTCACCCCACCACTTGGACCCACATTTCTGCCCCAGGCTGAGATTTTGGGAGAGCAGAAGGGGGCGATTTTTTTCTCAAGAGGGTCCAGACACCTCTGGAAACACTGTGGAGGAGATAAAATGTTTGGGAATGCTGCAGAGGAGATAAAATGTAGAGTGCACAAAGCGGTTTAGCAGCCTTTCCTTTAGCATCCTCCCGACGCAGAGCTGAGAGGACACCCCTGCAGGGTGAGGACATCCTTTCTGCCTTCCTTCCAGAAACCATCCCCTTTTTAGCAAAATTATACACTGCTGACAAAAACACTAGTTTGCACATAGTCACAGGGATCTGCCCGAGCACCAAGAAAGTCCCCGAGCCCGCCCAGCGTGCACCCATGTGGCACAGCTCAGCCCGTGGTTACAGCTTCGGGATTCTGCTGGGGCCAGGGCTGCATCCCGAGCATCCTCGGTCCCCGCATCCCAAGCATCCCCGGTCCCCGCATCCCGAGCATCCCCGGTCCCCGCATCCCGAGCATCCCTGGTCCCCGCATTCCCGGTGCTGCGCCAGGGCGTCGGAACAATTTAATTAATGCGCTGCCCTCCGGCGCTGTGCCAAAATCACTGCCACACACCCCCAGTGAGCACCAGGACCCTCTTACCTCCAGCTTTGCTACCGAAGGTGGCAACGATACCCAGGACGGGCACCCTGAGCTGGCACCGGTGCCCAGCCGGGCTGCCTCCCTGCTCGCCTCCGCAGCTCTGCCAGCAGCACAACCAGTTGGCAAAGCCCCCAAAAAACCCACCCGAAATCCAAACGCTCCCTGTTTCTAAGCCGCAAGAGAAATGCCAGCACAAGCGGGATGCTGGTCCCAAATCCTTGCTGCCACCGCCAGCCTCGCGGTTAATTCCCGGGAAAATCCGAGCAACACCTGGCAGGACCTGGGGGAGTTGGTTTGCATGGCCCCGGCCAGGTGGGAAACACTTTCCTCGCCTTTTCAAACAGCACTGCAGTCCCACGCTGGAAAAAAACACCAGGGGATGTGAGCAGGACTCCGACGTCCCTTGTGCCCCTTCCTTGGGCAGGGGAAAAGGGAAGGACTGCGGGGCTCTTCCCGGCGGTGAAGAAGACCCTGGCCAGAGCTGCAGCTCGCAGCAGGAGCGCCCTGCAGATGCCATGCCTGTGAGGCTATTTGCTATTCTGGGATGTGGTTTTCTCTCTCTTTTCAGCTAGAAATTCCACCCTGGACTTAAAAAAAACCAAACCAAAACAAAAACTAAACCACCGTTTTGTCGACGGCATTTGTTTTTGCCAAATAGCTGTTTCCTAAAGCAAAATCCCTCTCTCGCAGCGTTACCTTGCTGCTAACGGCTCCGCGAGCACGGCCTTTCCCCTCCGCTCCAAAAATCATCCAAATTACTGCCCGCGAGCACTTCCACTGCACGAAACCTCTCGGCTGGGAACCACATAGGACCCAAGGGGGCAGGAGGTGCCCGAGCATCACCCCTGCTCAGGGTGCACCCCGAAGCGTGGCTCACTTACTAGGTGCCGTGGGAGCCAGGGCGGCAGAGGCACCGGCCGGTCTCAAAGTGGCACTGGCCGTTGACGCAGTCGCTGCAGACGAAGGCGCAGTTCTCCCCGTATGTCCCGTTCCGACACTTGGTTTCGCACCTGGGGAGGGATAAGGGCAGGCAGCTGGAGCACCCACAGCTCCCGGGGACCTCCGGCATCCCCCTGGCCCTCCTGCCTGCAGACGGGGAGATGGGGCTGTGCGTTGTCAGCCCCGTTTGGGTGCTGCAAAGCCGCAGACCCAATCCTGGGCACAAGAGCCTGCAGGAAAGCATCCCAGCTTCACAGCTGAGCCCTACTGCGAGCACCCAACGTTACCTGGGGGCATGGGGCAGGGGTCTCGCAGGCTCCCTCTGGTCCCACGGCCATGCCAGTAGGCTCAGCCCACCCCTGCCCTTCCTTCCTGGCTGCAGAAACCCACAGCCACCCCTGGTCCCCCAGCAGGGAGCAGCAGGGAAGCTGGGCATCACCCCGCCGGGGCCCAACCCTGCATCCACCTGCACTCACCGGTCTCCGATCCAGCCTGGGTTGCAATGGGAGCACTTGCCGTTGATGTGGTTGCAGGTGTGGCCGTCCTTGCAGGGGGGACAGAGCTTCTCGCAGCCCTCTCCGTAGAAGCCAGGCGAGCAGGGCTGGTCGCACTTGGTGCCGTTCCAGCCCGCCTCGCAGGTCAGGCAGCGCCCGTCCGCCACGGTGCACGGCTGCAGGCTCTTGCACTGCCCGCACCTGCAATGGCCAAAGGGGAGCCCGTCACCCAGCGCAGCATCCCCGAAACCTCCTGCCGCCACCTCCCACCAAGCCCACGGTGCCGGATCAGGCCCAACAGGGTCCGGCCACTCACCGCCTCCTGCAGCCTTGGCCATAGAAGCCAGCCGGGCACGGCTCGCGGCAATACTTCCCCCGGTAGCCCGGCTCGCACGTGCAGGTCCCATCCACCTGGTTGCACTTGCCCTTGTAGCACTGGCAGTAACGGTCACAGCGGGGCCCGAACGTCCGCTCCCGGCACTGGCAGCGCCCCGTGAACTGCTCGCAGGGCGAGTTGTTGCAGGAGCACTGGTTGTTGCAACCGCGGCCCCACCAGCCCAGCTGGCACAGGCAGTTGCCCGTCTGCTGGTCACACTGGGAGTTGTGGCTGCAGTAGCAGGAGCTGGAGCATTGGGGTCCCCACCAGTTGGGCTCGCAGGTGCATTTGCCCGTCTTCTGGTCGCACTTGCCGTGCTTGCAGAGGCAGACGTTCTCGCATTTGGGACCCCAGCGGTTGGGGTTGCAGGTGCACTGGCCCGTCACGTCCTCGCATTGCCCGTTGGGGTGGCAGCTGCACATCTCCTTGCAGTCGGGACCCCAGAACTGCCGAGGACACTCTGCGGGCAGAGCCGTCAGCCCTGGCACTGCCCGTGGGACAACCCCACCACCAGGCACCGGTGGAGACCCCCAGCCCTGACAGGACTTCTTGACCGCAGTCCCCCCCTTCCTCCCAGTGCACTGGATCTCAGAGGAGACCCCTCCAAAGGGACGATGCCCTGGGGACAAAGCCAGGGGGACAGGCAAGGGCAGAGCAAGAGCATCTGCAGCCCCACCCTTGATGCTCTGCTCTGGAAAGTTACCCCGGGATGAGCCAGCACCCCAGGGCCACCCCAGCGAACCTCGCCAAGGACACACGGGCACCTGCCGGTACTCACTGGTGTCGCAGTTGGCGCCGAAGTAGCCGTGGCGGCAGCGGCACTCGCCGGGCCTGACGCACACCTCGTTCTCCTTGCAGGTGAAGTTCCCCTCGCATACAGCTGGACGGACAGACAGACGGCAGGCATGAGCGTGAGTGCCACCGGGCTCGTCCCCGCTGTCCCTGCTCCCCCAACCCCCCCTCAGGACCGCAGAGCAGGGGAAGGGGTGCGTGGTGGCACTCCGGGTGCTGCTGAGCTGTGGCACCACGACCGACCTGGCAAGCAGCCGGGTAGGCCGAATGGGACCCTCACCAGAAAAATGCCAGCAGCCTCCTGCCGTCCAGCTCAACAGCGTCCCTGCCACCAGCCTTCTGCCACCCTGTTCAGCTCCATCCCTGCCACCAGCCTCCTGCCTCCCAGCTCAGCCCTGTCCCTGTCATCAGCCTCCTGCCACCCAGCTCAGCAGCATCCCTGCCACCAGCCTCCTGCCTCCCCTCTCAGCTCCATCCCTGCCACCAGCCTCCTGCCTCCCCTCTCAGCTCCATCCCTGCCACCAGCCTCCTGCCTCCCCTCTCAGCTCCATCCCTGCCACCAGCCTCCTGCCTCCCTGCTCAGCTCCATCCCTGCCACCAGCCTCCTGCCTCCCCTCTCAGCTCCATCCCTGCCACCAGCCTCCTGCCTCCCTGCTCAGCTCCATCCCTGCCACCAGCCTCCTGCCTCCCCTCTCAGCTCCATCCCTGCCACCAGCCTCCTGCCTCCCCTCTCAGCTCCATCCCTGCCACCAGCCTCCTGCCTCCCCTCTCAGCTCCATCCCTGCCACCAGCCTCCTGCCTCCCTGCTCAGCTCCATCCCTGCCACCAGCCTCCTGCCTCCCTGCTCAGCTCCATCCCTGCCACCAGCCTCCTGCCTCCCCTCTCAGCTCCATCCCTGCCACCAGCCTCCTGCCTCCCCTCTCAGCTCCATCCCTGCCACCAGCCTCCTGCCTCCCTGCTCAGCTCCATCCCTGCCACCAGCCTCCTGCCTCCCCTCTCAGCTCCATCCCTGCCACCAGCCTCCTGCCTCCCCTCTCAGCTCCATCCCTGCCACCAGCCTCCTGCCTCCCCTCTCAGCTCCATCCCTGCCACCAGCCTCCTGCCTCCCCTCTCAGCTCCATCCCTGCCACCAGCCTCCTGCCTCCCTGCTCAGCTCCATCCCTGCCACCAGCCTCCTGCCTCCCTGCTCAGCTCCATCCCTGCCACCAGCCTCCTGCCTCCCCTCTCAGCTCCATCCCTGCCACCAGCCTCCTGCCTCCCCTCTCAGCTCCATCCCTGCCACCAGCCTCCTGCCTCCCTGCTCAGCTCCATCCCTGCCACCAGCCTCCTGCCTCCCTGCTCAGCTCCATCCCTGCCACCAGCCTCCTGCCTCCCTGCTCAGCTCCATCCCTGCCACCAGCCTCCTGCCTCCCCTCTCAGCTCCATCCCTGCCACCAGCCTCCTGCCTCCCTGCTCAGCTCCATCCCTGCCACCAGCCTCCTGCCTCCCTGCTCAGCTCCATCCCTGCCACCAGCCTCCTGCCTCCCCTCTCAGCTCCATCCCTGCCACCAGCCTCCTGCCTCCCCTCTCAGCTCCATCCCTGCCACCAGCCTCCTGCCTCCCCTCTCAGCTCCATCCCTGCCACCAGCCTCCTGCCTCCCCTCTCAGCTCCATCCCTGCCACCAGCCTCCTGCCTCCCTGCTCAGCTCCATCCCTGCCACCAGCCTCCTGCCTCCCTGCTCAGCTCCATCCCTGCCACCAGCCTCCTGCCTCCCTGCTCAGCTCCATCCCTGCCACCAGCCTCCTGCCTCCCTGCTCAGCTCCATCCCTGCCACCAGCCTCCTGCCACCCAGCTCAGCCCTGTCCCTGCCACCGGCTGCACCCAGCGGCAGCATCCCTCGCTCAGCTCCGTATCTCCGGCAGAGGCAACTCCGGGCGGGGGCTGCCTGCAGGCGCTGGGGAAGAAGAGGGACATGGGGTGCAGGCAGCCACGAGCATGGTCCCCCTCTCCCCCTCCCTGCACTCCTTACAGACTGCAGCGGCGTCAATGCCACCCCCACCACTGCCTCTCCCGTGCGGGCCACCAGCCCCCAAAGGCCACCAGCCCCTCTCCTGCCAAGGGGACCTTGCGCTGGGGCCAACGCCCAGAGCGGGGCAGGCGCAGGACGTGGGACAGGCAGCACCGCGGTGTGGGCAGGCGCAGGCAGATCCTTAGCTACTGGGAGAGGGAGAGCAGACCACCCATCCCATCCACCTTACCTGGCAGTTCTTAGACCTACGGTGATGGATACTATAGAAACCCCTAAAATAGACAGATTACACAGGTTAGGAGCAGTGAGTCTAATGGTTAGAGCAGGCTGGGGGGGAAGGAGACGGGGACAGCTCGCTGGTGGGACCGTCCTCCCCCCGCTGTCCTGGCAGACCCTGTCCTTCGCCCTGCCTGCCGGCATGCCAAAGGGACTGCGTCCTGTTCCCGGTGCGTGGGCACCCAACGCATGCAGCGAGCAGTTACAAGGGCTCATGCACGGTGGGTTAGTTGGTTACGTGGTCTTCGCCGCCGGCTGCAAACTGCTGATGCCCCAGGCCAGTGCGCAGAGCTCCTCCAGCTCTCCTGGGGCACGGCGAGCCCCGTGGCCAGCCGAGACTGCGGGGAGTAGCACAGGAACCCCAAACCAGCTGCCTGCATCGTGGCGGCAGTGCAGGGGATGAGAGCTCCTGGGGCTTCATGCTGAGCATCCATGCCGGGCTTGCTGCGGCTCCTGGTAAGAGCTGTAATGCCCAGCGTGGCCCCAGCTGGGGCTGCCCTGCCTGCAGGTTCAGTGGCCCCTGCCTGACAGCCTGCCTGCCCCGGCAGCCTCCCCGCAATGGGGCCACGATGGACACGTGCCTGGTCCTGGCGGCTTCTCCACCGGCGGCTCTGACTTGGCTCCCCACGCTGCTGCAGCACCCGTGGGAACTCTCTGGGTCCCACCCCCGCAGCTGCACCTTCCCTGTCCCCACGCTTAACCCTGGGGGACACCTCGCTGTCCCTTGGGTCCCAGAGCAGCACCCCCAAATCCTTAGACCCAAAGCTGGCTGGCATGGAGAGAAAGCCCCCAGCCTGGGAGCAGGGGTGATGCTCCCCGCGGAGGGGCCTGCTGGGGGCTGGGACACCCCGGGGCATCACTGTGGGGGCAGGGGGTACCCCAGGGCTGGGCTCTGTGACCAGCACCCCAGCACTGGGTCTGAGCACCCATTCCATCCACACGCTGCTGGCTTCAAGCACTGCAGGGAGGCAGGACAGCCTCCAGCATCCCCAGGGAGCCTGGCTGCAGACAGAGGTCCCCGGGACAGGGGGTCCCCGCCGTGGGGCACATCAGGGTGGCCCCTGACAGCGGTGGTGAGGCCAGGAGGGCTCAGCAAAGGATGGGCAGATGAGCAGTGTCCAATGAAGCAAAACACTGGTGCCTACCTGTTAAACACTCGCTTCCTTGTTGCCTCCATCCCGGGCAGCACACAAGCACTGAGGAGCTGCAGGGGAAAAAAACCACCACAAATGGTTACGACCCTCAGAAAGGCCTGGTCCTTCCCAAAACCCCGCCAGGAGCACTGACGCCGTGGTGGGGAGTCCTGCTCCCAGTTAGTTGAACTCTGGCCGGGAACTGCTGAGAAGTCCTGCTCCCAGTTAGTTGAACTCTGGCCGGGAACTGCTGCACCCTCATGGGGCAAGGAGAGCTGTCGGCTCTTCCTCCACCGTGCAGGGAGCACAGATCTGCTGGGGGGCTTCCACGGGCACCGGCTTGAAATGCCCCACCAGCCAGCCGAGGCGACGCCAGGAGTGAGGACAGGACCAGTTCCTCCCATTAATCAGGAGCAATGAAACAATGAAAGTTGCATTTGCAACTGTTATTGTCAAAAAAAATCCCAAAGACCCCCAAAAGCTAGGAAAAAAGGGAAGGCTCTAAATGTCCCAGGGGAAAACCAACCGCTCTGCCCCCGAGGGTCCGGCAAAGCAGCCTGCTCCCGGGACGGGATGGCTCGGTGCCTGCAGCCAGATGCCCAGCTTGCCTGCCCTTGGCGCTGGACCTCCCCGCTCAGGAGGGTGCTGCGGTGAGCAGGGGCCGGCGGTGCCCGCACCACCGTGAACGTCCCCAGACTGCTCTTCTCTGCCTGCCTGCACCCTGCTGCCCTCTTCTGCCTGCCTGCACCCTGCTGCCTGCCTGCACCCCACTGCTCTCCACTGCCTGCCTGCACCCCGCTGCCTGCCTGCACCCCGCTGCTCTCCACTGCCTGCCTGCACCCTGCTGCCTGCCTGCACCCCGCTGCTCTCCACTGCCTGCCTGCACCCTGCTGCCTGCCTGCACCCCACTGCTCTCCACTGCCTGCCTGCACCCCGCTGCCTGCCTGCACCCTGCTGCTCTCCACTGCCTGCACCCCGCCGCCTGCCTACACCTCTCCACTGCCTGCACCCCGCTGCCTGCCTACACCCTGCTGCTCTCCACTGCCTGCCTGCACCCTGCTGCCTGCCTGCACTCCCCTGCCCTCCTCTGTCTGTATACACCCTCCTGCCTCCACGCTCCCTGCTGCCCTCCTCTGCCTGCATGCACCCCCTGCCTGCATGCCACCCCCACGTACGAGCCGGGCGATGGCAACTGCAGGACGGGTCCCTGAGCCCTTGGGTGTCCTGGAGTGCCACCGGCTCCAGGAATCACCGTGCACAGGATCATCAGCCAAAGTGGTTTTGGCACAAGCTTGACCCCGGCCAACACCGGGACAGGGTCTCAGACCCCCGTGGAGGCTCAGGCAGGGACACCCTGCGGGGATGGGACAGGTGGGGGACTAAGCAGGGACACCTCACCCACACTCGTTCAATGACCCCCCCCAGGCGAATGGCCGGGGGCTCACGATGCTCCAACCCAGGTGTGGGGAACACGCTCCCCGTGCCATGACACCGCAGGGATCCCCTGGGTGGGGGAACACTGCTCATCCCTGGGGCGACCCGCTCATCCCTGGGGTGACCCACACCGCCCGGTCCCCGCTGCTGACCGGAGCAATGCTGGAGGGTTATAAATGGTCTGAGCGGACGCTGCAGTCGAGGAAAACTTCACCCGGGCTGGTCCGGCAGCGCAGCCTGGAATGCATTTTGCTTTTTCTTTTTTTTTTTTTTTTCCCCTTTTCCTCTTTATATGTAACAAATGCAGAAGAGGAGGAGGAGACAGCGAGGAAGTATTCGCTCGAAACCCAGCAGAGTCACAGGACCATGTCTGGCTGCCAGACCGCCTTGTCCTAGGGCTGGGGAGGGAGCTGCCAGCAGCCCCCCGGCCGAACGCGGGTACCGGGGAGGCTGGACGCAGCTCCCACCACCAGCCCCTCGGCGGGCAGCACCCGCACGGCCAGCCGGGAGCATCGCGTCCCCCTTTTCGCAGCGGACGGTGAAAAATTGGAAAGGAGGCAGAAAAGAACCACAAAAATGATTCAAGGCCTGGAAAAAATGCCTTGCAGCAGGAGCCCAAAATAGCTCCATCTATTCAGCCCGTCGAAGCAGTCGTGAGACACTGCGATGGCAGCCAGTGCGTACCCCCCGTGCGGGGACCCCGGGGCTCGAGTGGGGGGCTCTGCTCTGGCTGAGCATGCAAGGGGATGCACGGTGTTAACAGCAAAGGGGGCTCAACCACCAAACCACCTTCCCGAGGACCGGGTGGGCTGGAGACGAGGTTCTTCTCTGCAAGAGGCTTCAGGCTGCCCTCCCCGAAAAGCCTCGCCAGCTGTGCTGGGATGCTCGGGCGCAGGCGGGGAAGGGTCCGCGGTGCCCTGACCCTCCCACGGCGCGGCCAAAGCACCTGCTGTCTCACCTGGGGTTGCTTTCACTGTTCCACCCTTTAGAAATTCAGTGTTTGGTAGTTTTTAGATGAAACCATCGCAGGTTTGCAAGGGGAAACCCCTCCGCTTGGGAAACCTCCTCCCTTGAACAGCTCAGCCTGGCCACCAAAACGGACATCACAGATGATGCACCAAAAAGCATCGCCCATGATGAAAGCCCTGAGCCGATGGCGGGGAGCCGGGAGCTGCTGAAACACGGCAGCAGGAGGGAAAAACCCTTCCCCTGCCGCGAGCCAGAAGAGGCGAGCGGGACTGCGACCACCACCAGCCGGGACCCCAGCCCACACACCGCCTCTCCAGACGCAGGACTCGTGCTTATCTTTTAACAGATAGCTTAATCTCTCCTTCACCATGCCTGCCGATGGCATCCTGCACCCCTCCACTCAGCCCCCGCCTCGTTTATCAGCAGCTTTGACAGCAAATAAACTTGCTCCCGTTGCCCCCCCCAGCGGCCCCCAGCCCACACACCGCCTCTCCAGACGCAGGACTCGTGCTTATCTTTTAACAGATAGCTTAATCTCTCCTTCACCATGCCTGCCGATGGCATCCTGCACCCCTCCACTCAGCCCCCGCCTCGTTTATCAGCAGCTTTGACAGCAAATAAACTTGCTCCCGTTGCAAGGAGATGCAGCTGGGATGCGGCACTGGGTAACTGGTGCTCCCAGTGCGGCACATGGACTGGTCCCCGAGCACAGAATCTTTTAACAGATAGCTTAATCTCTCCTTCACCATGCCTGCCGATGGCATCCTGCACCCCTCCACTCAGCCCCCGCCTCGTTTATCAGCAGCTTTGACAGCAAATAAACTTGCTCCCGTTGCAAGGAGATGCAGCTGGGATGCGGCACTGGGTAACTGGTGCTCCCAGTGCGGCACATGGACTGGTCCCCGAGCACAGACAGCCCCAGGCAGGGTCAGTGCTGGCTGCAGAGGTGACCGGCACCCATCGGGGCACAGGTCTAAAACATGTCTCGTGGTCTCAGCTCCTCCAAAGAGGGTTTGCTCCATGTGTCCCGTGACCACAGGAACTAGGATAACTGGGAGATCTGTTTAAAAGCTTGCTCCCGACCCACACGGACATGCCACCGCAGACATGCACAGTGCAAATACATTTTCTATTTCTTTTTCTTTCCTTCGAAGCACTACAAACGCTAGGAAAAAGAAAAAAGAAAAGCTGCCTCCGAGATGTGGCCAGGGCTTGGGAGCTTTGCTGATATGGACGAAAAGGAGCAGGGATGTGGGCAGAGCCGGAGCCGTGACCTGAAGGGACGAGCACTCGATGCCAGCATTGCCCCCGGCGCATGGCCATATCCCGCTCATGCTGAGCATCAGCAGGACACGGGACCTCCGCAAATGCTCTGGGGGTTTTTACGGAGACAGAATATTTTTCTTGCTGATTAATATCCTGCATTGCTCCCTGAAGCACGTCCCCTTTACCTACAGCTGTGGGAGGGCTCCTGAGGTGGGAGGGATGGCTCCTCATCCAGACCAATGCAGCCCCCTAAAACAGTGAGGAGCAGGCTCACACCCCCAAAAGAAGGAGAGAGACCCTGGGGCTTGGGTGGGAGCTGCTGCCTGCGGTCCCATGCGAGACCTCCCCGCTCTCAGCCCGTCCGACAGAGCTGCAGAGGAGGCCTGCGGGCGCGCAGCGTGTCCCCGAAGCCCAGAGCATTGCCGTCACCTTCCCCAGCCACGCGGCCATCCCCAGTGCTCCCCACCCCGCTGCTCCTCCCGAGCATCACCCCAGCGCTGAGCTCCTTCTTTCTCTGTGTCACCCATCACTCGGTGCCACCCAGCTCCCTCCGTGTGGCACACAGGGCTCTTGGGACCACCGGGTCCCAGCCAGCAGCATCCACTCCCCAGCCCATGCCAAAGACAGAGATCCCCTGGTGCAGGCAGGAGTAGGATCGCGTACGTAAACAGAAACCCTTCAGGCAGAGAAAGAAAAGAAAAACAAGTTAAAAAACAAAGATTACCAAAAGAGAGCATTAGTGAGAGCAGGACAGGGACAAAGCAATGCCGCAGGGCTCTCATCAGCCTGCATCCCAAACGGCAGCTTCAGAGAGGGTCGAGGGTCGCGCTCTCAGCCCGTCCGACAGAGCTGCAGAGGAGGCCTGCGGGCGCGCAGCGTGTCCCCGAAGCCCAGAGCATTGCCGTCACCTTCCCCAGCCACGCGGCCATCCCCAGTGCTCCCCACCCCGCTGCTCCTCCCGAGTATCACCCCAGCGCTGAGCTCCTTCTTTCTCTGTGTCACCCATCACTCGGTGCCACCCAGCTCCCTCCGTGTGGCACACAGGGCTCTTGGGACCACCGGGTCCCAGCCAGCAGCATCCACTCCCCAGCCGATGCCAGCCGCAGCTCCCCGACCCGAACCCAGCCTCGGGGTGCAGGCAAAGACAGAGATCCCCTGGTGCAGGCAGGAGTAGGATCGCGTACGTAAACAGAAACCCTTCAGGCAGAGAAAGAAAAGAAAAACAAGTTAAAAAACAAAGATTACCAAAAGAGAGCATTAGTGAGAGCAGGACAGGGACAAAGCAATGCCCACGTGCGCAGGGCTCTCATCAGCCTGCATCCCAAACGGCAGCTTCAGAGAGGGTCATGCCAACTTGTAACTGACTATAAAAGCTTCACATTTAGGAGCAAGTTG